GTAGGGGGGTACTGTCAGGAATGGACTCACCATTAGTGGTGGGACTCATCTGCCATGTGGGCTGCAGTACCAGGGCTGGCCAGCGGGTGCTCTAAGCAACCAGAAGCTCGCTCCTGCAATCAGCCATCACCTGAGGCTGATTGCAGGAGGTGTATTTAAGGAATGGCCAGACCTGCAGTCAGTGCCTTGGCACATTGACATAGATCTTTTCCTTCTTTAGGAATGATTGTTATGTGTGCCAGCAAAGATTCCTTCCTTATTTGCATTCCCTCTCCTAACACATTCATATATGCACACATTTTCGGGATTAGGTGTTCTTTAAACCTCCTGTAGTATCTTACAGTATATCCATCTGGCCCAGGCTTTTCCCTGCTTGCGTGCTCCTAAGGGCTTCAAATACCTCTTCTTGTGTTATTGGTCTATTCAACATGGTAATGCCGCATTCTCTAGATATATTTGGTTTTTTTTATTTGTAGTCTCCTCCAATTCTCTTGAATTCTTTGAGGTTACCACATAAAGGGAGCTATAATATTCTTGAAATACACTCGCAATTAATTTAGTTACCAGTTTGTTTTTCCTTACCAACCTTGCCAAATATTTTCCAGATTTATTTTCCGGATTTACTTCCCCATTGATATCTTTCTCTCAGCACCATTTTAAAGGCCCTATTTGTCTCCTGTTTCAGTAGACTACTTAATTCTTCTCTCTTTAATATTATTGTTTGTTGTATTACAGTCTCCTTTTTATGTATTTGCTCCAATTCATAAAATTCTTCTATTATTGTTTTTATCTTTTCCCGCAATTGTTTCTTTTTTTTCCCGCCCCTATGGAAATCAGGATACCTCTTATGGGCCTTATGGGCTTCCCAAATCGTAACACTCAAAACTTCTTCCTTTTCATTTATTTAAAAATATTGCTCTTTCTTTTTGTATTCTTACGTCCGTCTCCTGATCTTGTATAAGTGTTTCATTTAATTTACATGCATACATTTTATTATGTTCTTTCCCCACTTTTAGTCTCATTGTACCCGATGCATGATCTGATAATGATGTAACCTCGATATTGGATGTGACCAATAATTCCAATAGTCTGTGTTCTATAATTATATAATCCAAAACTAGAATATGTTACATGTACTGAGGAATAGAATGTATAATCCTTTACATAAAAATGTTTTATTCTCCATGCATCTACCAATTAAAATTGGTGTAATGTATTTTTATTTGTCTTAAGCATCTTCCTCCATTCCTCTGTACATGCAATGATGTATCCAGCTGCTACAATCAATTTACCTTTCTTAAAATCCATCAATTTCCTTAACGTATCCTGTAAAAACATGATTGGGTTCTTGTTTGGATTGTAAATATTTGCGAGTGTGTATTCCATTTCATATAATTTCCCCCAAAAATCCCCCATTAGGGTCCACCATTCTGTCTACTATAGTGAATCTCATGTTTTTTGCCATTCCAATAGCTAACCCCTTAGCTCATTTTATTGGTAAATCAGCATAATACCAAACCGGTAATTTTTAGATTGTAACCTAATTCTTGTATCATGAGATAAATGTGTCTCTTGTAGGAACACTACGTCCATCGAACGCTGATGTATTTCTCTTAGGAACATATGTCTTTTTACCGGAGAGTTTAATCCTTTTACGTTGTAAGTGATAAAATTAACTACTTTCCCATCCTCCATCCTTTTTTTATTCCTTTTCTTCTAATCCACCCAGGTATAGATCCTAATATGTTACTTATAACCCAGCAAAAAATTACTAGACAAATTCTTCTACTTCCTTCCCCCCAACCCTTCCCTCCCCACTCTCCTACCACCTCCCATCCTCTCCCCTCTCTCCACCCCTAGAAAACCTATGGCTTGTCTGTAGCCTGTGATCTGTTGTGGGATGTTACCCATCTTTGATCCCTCTAATTGGGGTAAGGCTCTGTCTATGTACGCCTCCCTCCACCCCCCCACCCTTTTAAAGTGTGTGTCTAGGAGTGTGTTGACCTCCATTTATCCCACCTATGCTGTATCTTTCAAACCTCAACCTCTATCCCCCTGTCCTCCCCCCCCCCCCCCCCCCCCCCTCCCCCCCCCCCCCCCCCCCTCCCCCCCCAATCTCCCAAATCTCCCCCCACACACACACACACACACACACACACTACATGTGGGAAGAGGAATCCAGAAGAGGGCAGGGTGTAAGGGAGAGAGAGGGGGGCGCAACAACAAACTAGAGAGGAAGGGGAAACCGAGAGAGGGAAGGAGAAGAAGAAAGAACAAGAAAGAAAAGGGAACCCTCCATCCAAGTTTCTGTTAAATTCCCATTCAACTCCCTCTATTAGACTATATAGTCTATCAAGAATATTATCTCCTTTCCTTTCTTCAAGTCTCTATTACTGTCTCTCTTTTTGGAACATGATATCCATCTCTCTTCTTCCGTTCCCCTCTTTTCCTTTATCTCGCCAGTCCATGCAGGGATTTCTGGTATTTGCAGATCTAATCTTCCACAAAAGTCCTGGAGTTCTTCTGGGAACCTCAGTCTAGCTGAGCGACCATCTTTCCATCCTATTAAACATGCTGGAAAATCTGTTCCAGTATTGGTCTCAAAGTTCTCCTTCTTGCTAGCATTTCAGGTGCAATATCTGCACGATTGCTCCTTCATATTTCATTGAGGGTATTCCTTTCACTTCCTCCCAGATCTTTATTTTATCTTCATAATTGTGGAATCTTACTATCATATTTATTGATGTTTCTGTGGTCACTCCTTGAGGTCTTCTTATCCTATGAACTTTATCCATTTTTAATTGTTCTGTTGTGGGTCTATCTAATAAGTTTAATAGTGTGTTCATTATAGTTCTTAAATCTCCTTGAGATAATTCAGGCAGCCCCCGAATCCTTATATTGTTTCTTCTATTTCTTTTTCCTGGGCTTCTATCTTGTATACCAGTTTTCTCTGTTCACTCTGCATTTCTTCCATTTAGCCTTTAATCTCAGATATTACTTGTGCATGTTTATCCAATCTTTCCCCCGTTTCTTCCACATGGGACAAAACCTGTCCTAAACCATTATGCAGGATTGCCATCTCATTCTTTATTGAAAGTTCTAACTTCGCAAACATATCTGCCATTTTGATTTTTGTAGGTATTTGTGAACTTCCTATTTTGTTCTTCACTGTTTCTTTTGTCCTCAACACATACTATACTTAGTCCTTCTTTACTTGGATTCGGGTCCGTTGTTTCTAGTGATTGTCTGGATTGGTCTCCACTATTATTTACCATGTCCTGTCTTCCAATAATTTCCCATTGCTTCTCTGGGGATAAGCCTCCAGGGCTTTTCTCCTGCAGGGGCATATATTTTTTGATTGAGCCTATGCTGGTTTTAGGTTTCTTTGCCCCTCCTCCTTTCGCCGATCTACTCTTCATAGTTATTTTCTTTTTTACCCTCCTCCTCTTCACCTTTTTTGCAACTTTAAATACGTTCTTAATCCTCTTTAGATTACACAGCTACATGGATATATTTACAGTAATGCCTGGATGTATAAGCATGGGCGTACAGTGCTTCAGCCTACAGTATCAGGGACAATGTGTTATTTTTTGCACCTCGTTTTCCCTCCTGGGGGCCTAATACATATTGCTTATCAGATATCCACACTCCTTCATAGTTTCTTCCATTCCTCCGGCTCCATCCCCGTAGGAATTTTTATTTTTAATCCGCTGAATGCCCCTTATGTCACTTCCCGCAATAAACTTCTAAGTGCTGCTTCCACCAGCCACTTCTTATTAAATAACAATATTCTCCTGCAGGCGCCATTTTCAGGCCCCTCCCCCAGCCATTCTACCAGCACAAAGTTTTAACCCTTTTTTACCGGCACTCCTTATAAGGCTTGTAATAGTGGGAGGGTTTTACAAATGCTCCTGGATCATTTTCTGTGACCCTCAGAGTGTAAAAAAAACCACCATGTTTCCCCTGACTCTGCTGTCCCACTTTCTGGCCCGGAACCCAACAAGTGGAGGGGAGAAAAACCAGTGAAACCTCAATTCAAGGAATTAATCTGATGTCTCAATAAAGAGAACCTGTCTTATAATAGGGGACTTTGTTCCCTACATGAAATAAAGTTTTAGTGAAAAAAAAAAAGAGTAAAGAAAAAATATTTTACACCCAAGAGCTTAAATTCCCCTCCAAAATGTTGAGCCTGTCCCCCCCCCCCCCCCCCCCCCCCCCCCCCTACAAACATGAACAGACCCATGAGGGCACCTACATATGAAAATGTTGCTTGCACTGCCCATTACATATCAACACACATGGGAGAGTGTAATAATTCTAGGACCAATATTTATGTTTCACTCTAAAGTGGTTAAGTGTATGGGCTTTTAACCACTTGCCCTTCAGACTATTTACCCCCCTTCCTGACCAGGCCATTTTTTGCATTACGGTGCTGCATTGCTTTAACTGACAATTGTGCACTCAAATAAAATTTACGTTCAGCTTTCAGTGCTATCACAATTTGAATGACAATTGCACGGTCATGCAACACTGTGAATATGACTTTTTTAGCATTTTTTTGAGACGGATAAAGCTTTATTTTGGTGGTATTTATTCACCACTGGGGTTTTTATTTTTTTTGCTATGTAAATGAAAATGTCCAAAAATTTTGAAGAAAAAGTGTATTTCTTATAAAATTTTGCAAATAAATAGTATTTCATCATAAATCTTGGCCAAAATGTATTCCGTTATCTTTTTAGTAAAAAAAAAACCCAAATTAGTTTATAACCAAAATTTATAATTAAACATTTTTTTTTACATTTTTATTTTTTTTTTTTATATTATTATTTGGGGTTTTTTTTGGTTTTTTTTTTACATACTGTACTATTTGTGGGGGGTGATGAAGATTTTTTTTTTTTACACTGATTGCTTTTACACCCATAAAGGATGTAAAAGCAATCATTTCTCTTTCTCTCTGTCTTGCAGCCATTGAGAACTACTATGTGAGCTGTGATTGGTCACAGCTTGTCACATGGTACAAGGCTGTTGTGAATAGCCTTGTACCATGTGACCTCTGTGATCATTCACAGATTTCACACGTAGTAAGCAATGATGTCACAAGTGACATCTTGCTTACTACTCTGCATGTGATCACTGATTGGCCAATCAGTTATCACATGATCGGTACCTCACATAGAGGTCCCGTCTGACGATCGGTGTTCCATTGTGTCCGGAGGACACAGCAGGCACCGGATCGCGGTGCTGCGCGCGCTCCCAGGGAGCGTGCACAAGCAGGGTGCGGGGAGGTCGTTTCTAAACGGCCACCCGACCCTGCACTGCCACCGTCTGGCCGTTTATATACAACGGCCGGACAGGAAGTGGTTAAACATGTCCAGTATAAAAATGTAAAAGATCAAATTTCGGCATAAATTTAGGCCTAAATGTATTCTACTACATGTCTTTGCTATAAAAAAATACCAATACGTGTAAATTTGGTGTACGTGAAAGTTATAGCGTTTACAAATGGCGGTATATACTGGAATTTTGTTTTTAGTAATGGCAGTGATCAGTGACTTATAGCAGGACTGCGGCGGGCATTCTGACACTAGGGGGAACTGACTTGGTGTCACTGACATCCCCAGTGACACCAATACAGTGAACAATGCTAATAAGAAGCACTGACACTGTACTAATGGCACTGGGCAGGAAGGGGTGAACATGTGGGGCGATCAAAGGGTGTGCTGTTTCACAGTAAGCTGTGTCTGTGCTTTCAACTGTAAGCACACTGATGGAGCTGACGGGAGAGAACTGTATTGTTTACATGCAGTTTTCTCTTCCCACATCGGTAATACTCTGCAATAACCAGCCAGGACCTGGTGATTGACAGCTAAGGCCACAAATAGCAACGTGGGTAGGGTTCGTGCGCGGCCCCCTACCTGGAAATGTAAAATAACGCATATATATGTGATTTTGCGTACCCCTGCCACCCTGTAGCAGTATTTCTGCTATAGCGTGGTGGAAAAGCTTTTAAAATGTTGTAAATATAGGGTACTGAAGTTCAAAGTTGCTTTGCGGCACATGAAAGTTTAAAGCTTGACATGCCAGTTATCTACAGTATTTATTCGACGCAACCTCATCTTTTATATTTTACAAAAAAGAAAAAAAGTTTAACCAGTTAAGCTCCGCCCTATAGCAGGTTTACTGCTACATGGTGGACTCCCTGCGCAAAATCACATATATAAACATGATCCATGTTCCCACCATGCTCGTGGGTAGGGGGTGCGCGCCCACCCACCGACCCAGTTGTGCTGTGATTGAGCGCAGCACCGATCAGTCAGCAGATTCAGGCCAGTGATGTTTGGGCTGGATCATCTGACTGATCAGTGCCCTATCACAGATCTTCCTGTGCCTCTGTTTACATTACATAGGAACAGGAAATGATGCAATCTTCTCTCCCTGGGGCACATTCTGTTCCAGAGAGAAAAGAAAGCAGATCCATGTGAGTCAAAGCACTACACTGAGCCAGTAAAAGCACAGCTAGGTCACATTTAACCCCCTGATCGCCCCCCAGTTAACGCCTTTACTGCCCTGTCACCAGTGTCATTAGTGCAAAAAATGAAACGAAAAAGAAAAAGGGCACACCAGCCTAGTGCATTATCCCTGTGGATTTATTGGTTGTATACAAAGCTAAAAACATACTCACAAAAAAATAAACCCACAGGGATAATGCACTAGGCTGGTGCGCCCTTTTTCTCTTTTGTTTAATTTTTTACAGTATTGCTGGACTTCCCCGGTCATAGGAGGGCAGCAAGGCCTCAATATCCCTGGATGTGGGTTCGTAGGGGATCCCATCTATCTATGGTCTGGTCTACTTGTTTCATTTTGCTACCAGTGTCATTAGTACAGTATACAGAATTGTTTTACTGATCACTGTATTAGTGTCCCAGGAGACTTCAGATAGCGTTAGCAACAGTTAGCATCCCTCCCATTCAGATTGCTCTCCACTACATCAGTCATCACATTTAACCCTTTGCCAGGAACACGCTCACATACAAAATAAACCTCCATTGCTAGTATAGTGTCTGAACGGATCAATATCTTTTATCAGCACTATACCAGCATTCACAATAGTATAGTGTGCCCAAAAACACAGCGTTAGCAGGATCAGCCACCTGCCAGCACCCGTGTTTAGCCCCTACACTTAACCCCCCCCCCCTCTTCTTCCCTAGCAAGTTCAGTGTCAGTAGAACACTGCCACTTGATACATTACACACAAAACTGTAGGGTTAGCGAGATTAGGCCTGATCTCTGCTAGAACTAGCAGGTAATTTTTTTTGTAGCGGTTCAAGCAGTCCCTGACAGCCAGGTACTCTTTTTCCTGCGAGTTGCACTAGGTACCTATAAATTTAATGGCCAAAATGTCTAAACAAAAGGTACACTCATGAAGAGGCTTTACAGGATTATAAGTAGATGAGAGCTAAGGGGAAGCTTCACTGACAGACTCAGGCTCAGAATACGAACCTGTAGACAGCAGCAGCACCCTGACTCATAGCTCAGACAATGGAGAAGAGGCCCCTGTTAAGGCCAGGCATACCCGACCCCGTTCCCAGGTTGCCGAGCTGTTACAATCACATGATGATTCTCATATGCAGCAGAATGCCGCTTTACCTTTTTGGTGAACTGGTGAGCAACAGCGGCCTAGTACATCCTGGTCTTATACATACCAGCACTGCAGTATCACTTGGTGATGTGGTGAGTCCCATAAGTGCAGTACAAGCTGGTGCGGTGGTTAGCACAAATAGTGTCCCACAGCCACCAAGAATTCAAACACAGGCACATAGAGCCCATAGTGTCCTTCCGGATGTGCTTGAAAATCCTGGTTGGCAGCCCATAAATTCTGCAGTACTTGTACTTCCCCATTCACTGCTCAACCCGGAATTCAGGTGGAAACAGCAAATTTAACTACTGCCCTTGATTTTTTGGAGCTGTTTTTCACAGATTTGTATGGATTGATTGTGGATCAAAGCAATTTATATGCACAACAATTTATTGCCGCCAACCCAAATTCAAACGTTGCCAGACCATTTGCATGGAAACCTATTACAGTTTCTGAATTTAAAGTTTTTTTGGGCCTAAACCTCAACCTGGGCATTACTAAAAAAAATTGTATTGGTCCACAGACCCAACTAATCATTTGCCCATGTTCTCTGCTGTCATGGCCAGGCATAGATATCAGAATATAATGTGATTTATGCATCCCTCCTAGATTGTAAGCTCCAAGGAGCAGGGCCCTCTAATCCTTCTTGTATTGAACTGTATTGTTACTGTACTGTCTACCTCCATAATTTAAAGTGCTGAGCAAACTGTCGGCGCTATATAAGTTCTGTATAATATTAATAATTTTAGTGACAACACACTGTGTCGCCCTCGGGGTGACCCTGAATATGATAGGCTCCACAAAATTTGGCCCCTCGGAAATCACCCTAACCAGAAATCTGCAGTTGTATATACTCCCCAGCAAAACATCTGTGTTGATGAATCCCTCATAAACTTTTCTGGCCGCTTTGCATTCAAACAATTTCTCCCCAGCAAACGTGCCAGATATGGGGTCAAAATGTATAAGACCTGTGAAAGGGCAACAGGCTATACATGTACGTTTCGAATTTACAAGGGAAAAAATAGTCACAGGGAGCCCCCTGGATGCCCAGATTACATGGGGAGCAGTGGCAAGACAGTTTGGGACTTTGTGTCACCCTTTTTCTATATGGGGTACCACTAATTTGTATACAAGTTTGCCAGTATTTAGACATTTTTATACAATCTCGAATTGGCGCATGTGGCACCGTGCGGCCTAATTACCGAGGCTTCCCACAAACGGCTTGTAAATACCCATCCTAGAAAGGGGGAAAAAGCCTGCTTGAAAAATGATGAATTATTCGCAGTGAAGTGGAAGAATAAACGGGATGTTTTCGTCCTGTCTTCCATTCAAGCAGACACAACCATCCAAATTTCCATGGCAGCTGTAGAGAAGCCCCTCTGTGTCCACCACTACAAACTTAACATGGAAGGGGTGGACTTCCACAACCAGATGATGAAGCTGTACTTAGTTTCTCAAAAAGCCAGACATTGTTACAAAAAATGTCTGTTTATTTCAATTGGCTGTGTACAATGCTTTTGTGCTTTAAAAAGCAACTGTATGAAATGGATCCTTCCTAATATTCCAGGAATCATCACAGCCCTTTTGTATCCAGAAGGTGCTATGGCCCAAACCCCCAATATACCATTTAAATGACAACTTTGTGTTTAATTGTTTTTTTTCTATTTTCCAAAAACTTGTGGAAAAAAATAAATCTTCCATGGACAAAACATGCCTCTCAGCTGATAGCTTTTAGGGCGTCTAATTTCCGAAAAGGGGTCATTTGAGGGTGTTTGTACTGCCCCGACATTTTTGTACCTATGTAACTATAGTATCTATACCATAGTTTGTAGACGCTATACCTTTCACATAAACCAATTAATATACACTTACTGGGATTTTGTTTACCAAAGACGAAGCAAAATACATATTGGCCTACATTTATGACAAAATGTGAGTTTATTGGATATTTTTTATAACAGAAATGAGAAAGCATTTTTTTTTTGTTTTTTTTTTTACATTTTCGGTCTTTTTTTTGTTTTGTTTATAGCGCAAAAAATAAAAACCCAGAGGTGATCAAAAAGCAAAAGAAAGCTCTATTTTTGTGAAAAAAAGGACATAAATTTAATTTATGTACAGCATTGCATGACTGTGCAATTGTCAGTTACACTAGTGCAGCACCGTATAGCAAAAAATGGAGTAAATTCCAGTATCTATACCAGTTTGTAGATGCTATAATTTTCACACAAACCAATAGTATACATTTATTGGGATTTTTTTTTTTATCAGACATGTAGCAAAATACATCTTGGCCTACATTTTTGACCAAATGTGAGTTTATTGGATATTTTTATAACAGAAATGAGAAAATATATTCCTGACAGACTCTATGGCAGCATACGTATGGGTTAGTCCCGCCTTCTCTTCTCCTATAGGACCCCACTTCCAGAAATCTTTGCTCCTCGCCAGAGGCCGTGTTCCTTTTTTGTCCTCCTATGGACCTAGTACAAGTCTTACCTGGTTCCCGCATACAAGATAGTCCGTGACTAAGGCCTGGCAAGCCTCTCCGGGAGATGCGTGGTGACGCTCCATTTGTCAGTTCCACGGGTCCCCAGCTAAAGGCGGGGTATTGGATGCAGTGCTGGGAGTAGAGGAACATGCGTCCTCTCATCAATGCCAGCATTCCCCAGCTAATAGCGGGGTGGAAATGAGTTGGTGCCTGGAAAAGCTCAGGTCTGCCAATGGCAGGCGAGTGGCACTTGGGCCAGATAGCCTGCTAATAGCAGGTAGCCATGTAGTGCCCCGAACAGACGAGGAGGTCTCCAAGGCAGGCAGTCGTGGCTGGGCGGGGTTGGTAAGCAGTGCCCTTGCCCAGGTTTGGGTCTCATTTTTGCTCCTTATTTTCTCTTTATCTTTCCCTAGTGCTAGTGGGTGCCTGGAGTGCCGCCGCTTCCTGGTCCGGCGCGGTCTCTGGCATACTGCACATGCGCGATTCAGACTCGGAACGAGGCTTGGCTTTGCAAGTGCGCAGTATGGCAAGATGGCCGTGCGGGCATCCCGGGGTGCGCCGCATGCACAGTACAACAGTGGTAACGTCACAGCTTTGGCTGCAAATAAAAACAGCTGTCAGAGCTGTTTTCTTTGGTAAATCCTGCGGCTTGAATGCGGCAGCTTCCCCAAGCACTGTGGGCCACTGTGAAGGTCAGTACCTGCTCCCTCCTGCCCCCCCTGGTGGTCTGCTCTTCACAGCTGACCCGTCATCGCCTCCTTGTGGCCAGCCCCTTCGCAGTAGATACAAATGGATGGCTTAATCCCCTTGATCCCCCACTGGTGCTTTTCTGTGGCTTTTAACTATCCCCCGTTCTGTGTCCTTTTTTTTCTCTCTCAGCCCTTCTAGGTCTGGTTCCCATTATACAACACACTGGCGCCATCATTGGTCCTCTAAATCCGCCACAGATCTCCTTCCAGCTCCAGGCATCATCGGAGAAGCTCTCACTCCTCCTCCAGGCATCGCATTAAGGGGCACTCCAGCCGCTCCAATAGGAAAACTTGCTGGGGGTGCGATTCTCAGGTTCCTGACGACAGGTCATTATGTGACTCCTGTTTTGCATGGGCGGGAGAAAGCGCCAAACAGGTAGAGGCTTTGGCCAGATGGGTCGTTCAAGAGTCTCTGAAAGAAATTGGGACTAGTCGCGCCCGCAGCCCTTCGGTCAGGGTGTGTTCCCCTCCCAAAGATCCCCAAGAGGGATTGGAGCCTTCATAACCTATCCATCTGTCAGCCGGAGCCTCAGATAGTGAGGTGGAGAGTGAAGATCCGTGTGTGGGCTTCGATTTCGCCTTGGTCTTGCCCTTAGTCAAAGCAGTCAAAGAGGCCCTGAAGTGGGAAAAATACATGGAGTCTCCCCCTAAACACAGTAAATTCTTTAAACATCTAAGGCAGGATTGTCCAAAATTTCTGTTCCTAGAGGAACTCAGGGAAATTTTCACTGAGGAGTGGAGCAATGTCGATAAGAGGGCCTCGTTGCTGAATAAAGCAGCCAAGCTTTATCCATTCAAATCAGAGAACGTCAAACATCTAGAATTGGCCCCTCTGGTGGATGCAACCTTGATGAGGCTAGCCAAGCACGTTACCCTCCCTCTCGAGGATTCGGTGTCCTTCAAGGGCAACCTGGAAAGGAGAATTGATTCCGATCTCAGGCGAATCTACACTACAGTTGTGATGGCTTGCAAGCCGGCTCTTGCCTAAAGCTATGGAAGTGTGGTCAGATAACGCATATGTGGCCCTACAGAGGAGTTCCGGAAGAGGTGGCCAGGAATTCAGGTATTTGGGAGCTGAGGTTGGCATCTGCCTTTCTGGGAGAGGCCTCGATCAACCCTACCCTTCTGCTAGCTGGGGTTATGCTGTCGGTGACAGCCAAGCATGCGTTGTAGCTTCGGCCCTGGTTGGCTGATCCAGCCTCTAAGCAGGCATGGTGCAAGATCCCCTTTGTTGGTTCCTCCATGTTTGGGAACAAACTGGACAGCGCTGTAGCCCATGCTACAAGCAGGAGGTCCAGTTTCCTGCCCCAGGATCGGTGTCTGCTAGGCCAGAAGAGGGCTAAGCCCAGAAGTCAAGGCTCAGAATGAGCTAGGGACGCACGCCTCTACAAACCGGGACGTGAATTCAAGAGAAGCTGGAGGAAAAGCCAATCATCTTTTCGGAAATCTTTCAAGGGCTCGACCTCTGGAGGTCGTGAGGCCACAAAGTCCTTTTGAGATTGCTGTACCCAAATTATTATTATTATACAGGATTTATATAGCGCCAACAGTTTGCTCAGCGCTTTACAATATAACAGGAGACAATACAGCAACAATACAGCAACAATACAGAGGGAAAGGAGGGCCCTGCTCCTTGGAGCTTACAATCTAGGAGAGTTATAAATGTATTGGTTGGAGGAGATGAAAATGTTGGGGGGAGGGGATGTAGATACTGCTCGTCTCAGGGCATAGCAATACTAATCAATGTCCCTAACAGCAGCCGGCCAGCAGTAATGGGGGGCCCCATCACCAACATCTCAATGCAATTAAATGGAGCTGATAGTATGTGCAGCCTGTATTACACAGCAGATTTTGATGTGGCGAGTGACATGACCATGATTGAAGACCAGACAAAGTGGGATTATGGGAGATGCAGCATGTGTGTCCTGCTTAAAGTACAGAGCCCTCTGTAAAAGCCCATAAAACGCCATCTCAGGGGAGCCGGGCATCCCATCGGAGCAGCAAAATGAAATTTACGGCCTTTTTTTCCCCACAAATAGAGCTTTCTTTCAGTGTTATTTGATTTTTTTTTTGCGCTATAAACAAAAAAAGACAATTCTGGAAAAAAAAACAATTTGAGTTTTTGCTATTAAACTTATCCAATAAAAAAAACACGAAAAAAACCCAAATTTCATCATAAATTTAGGCCAAAACGTATTCTGCTACATGTTTTTGCTAAAAGAAAAAAATCCCAATACGTGTAAATTAATTGGTTTACATGAAAGTTATAGCGTTTACTAATGGTGGTATATATACTGTAAAAAAAAATTTCACTAGTAATAGCGGCGATCAGCGACTTATATCGGGACTGCGGCGGGTATTCTGACACTGGGGGGAACCGACTTGGTGTCACTGACATCTCTAGTGACACCAATACAGTGATCAGTGCTAATAAAAGCACTGACACTGTACTAATGGCACTGGGCAGGAAGGGGTTAACGTGGGGGCGATCAAAGGGTTAACTGTGTGCTGTTTTACTATGTGGGCTGTGTGTGTGTTTCATTGTAAGCACACTGCAGGAGCTGACAGGGGAGTGATCTGTATTACACACAGGTCTCCCTGTCGGTAATATTTGGAGATCGCAGATTGCAGACTCGGTGTTTGACAGCATACGCCCCTTACCCGGAACTTCAAAATCATCATACATATACACACACGTGATTTTGTGTGCCTGTGCCACCCTGTAGCAGTATTTCTGCTATAGGGCGGTGTGGAAGCAGTTAAGCACAAGGCTGAGACTAGAGAGCAACTGAGCATGTGCACAGGAGGGGGAGACAGCACCTTATAGTATTTTAACCACTTCCCGTCCGACCCATGTATATAAACGGCTGGACGGGAGCAGTGCAGGGGCGAGTGGCCATTTATAAACATCCTCCCCTCTTCCCTGCTTCTGGGAGAGCGCAGCACCACGATCTGGTGCCCACTGTGTCCTCCAGACACAGCAGAACACCGACCGCTGTACAGGACCTCTGTGTGAACAGTAGTAAACAAGATGTCACTTCCTGACATCATTGCTTACTATTTGTGAAATCTGTGAATGATCACAGCGATCACATGGTACAAGGCTATTCACAACAGCCTTGTACCATGTGACAAGCTGTGACCAATCACAGCTCTCAGTATTTCTCAATGGCTGCAAAAATGCATCCAGAGAGAAGGAGAGACAATTGCTTTTACACCCATAAAGGCTGTATAAGCAATCAGTGTAAAAAAAAAAAAAAAATCATCACCCTCCACAAGTAGTACAGTGTCACTATGGTGACACTGTACTTCTAGGGTGACAGCATGTTAAAAACAAAACATAAATAATAATATAAAAAAGTTACAAAAAAATTTTGAAAAATTATAAATTTTGGTTATAAACTAATTTGGATTTTTTTTTTTACTACAAAGATAAAATGAATAAAATTTGGCCAAGATTTTTGAAGAAAGATTATTTATTTGCTAAATTTTATACGAAAAACATCTTTTAAAAATTTTTGGACTTTCATTTATATAGCAAAAAAAATAAAAATCCCAGTGGTGAATAATACCACCAAAATAAAGTTTTATCTGTCTCAAAAAAATGCTAAAAAATTCATATGGGTACAGTGGTGCATGACTGCACAATTGTCATTCAAAGTGTGATAGCACTGAAAGCTGAAAATTGGCCTGGGTAGGAAGGGGTAAAAGTGTACGGACTTGAAGTGGTTAAACAGTGTAGGCACTTCTTTTTAATGTTTTACACAGCTATGCCTGCAAAGGGACCAGCATGAAGTGACCTATAAGGTTCAAATTCTCTGACTAAAGTTCCATATTTCGATAAATTACAGGGCCTTAAAGTGGCTGTAAAGTCTTTTTTTGTAAAAGATTGTTTGCTCTGCAATTACACAAAGCAGCCACTTACCTCTTCTGGAGTCCCCTGCAAGCGGTGCCTGCTCCTCTTCTCCAGCGCATATCCCCATAGCAAACTGCCTGCTATGGGGGCACACTTCTGAGCCAGGCTGTGTATCCAGCTGCAGAGCATGGCTTGGCCCCACCCCCACCTCACAGAATCTGAACTGACAACTCTCAATCTGTCCTGTTAGAGCAGGGGGTGAAGAGGGAGGACACATAAGTAGGGAGCGGGAAGAATACATTCATGTAAAAAATTATTTGACTTTATAAACACTTTAAAGTGTAAGTTCACCTTTACCAGAAACCTGCCTATGCAGGTAAGGGGTGTCCCTTACTAAAGTTGAATACTACCTTTGCTATAGGTGTAGGCCATTTAGCTACCTCATGAGGCCTGACTGGTGAGCAGTAATGACTAGGCCTCACCTAGCAACACCCTGGGAGTTTTCCAGACAGACTTCAAGTGTATAAATGGCCTAGAGTCCTAGACCTATAGCAAGGGCATTATTCAACTTCAGTTAGAACTGCAGTTTGTTTTTATCTACAGGCACCCATTTTCTGCATAGGCAGCTTTTTGGTAAAGCTAAACTATTTCTTTAAGTAATGGATGTGTTTGGATTACTTGGACATTTGCCCATCTGAAGTGTATGTTTGGCTTCGAGCAGCAGTTTGTGCTCCCTCCCACCTCTTCAGAAGTAAAGTTTCTCTTTGCTTCCCATTATATAGTCTGGAATTTTTTTTATTGAGACATGTCATACATTGGTTGCCCACCTTTATCCTGGCTCCAGCTAGTGAGTTTGCAGAGCTAACCAGTTTTACAGTAGCGGTTTAAGCAATAACTCAAAAGTGACCACTCTGCAGTGTATATACACATTACCCCATCAGAGACCAGTGCATGCATTTTAACCTTTCAACGATCACCTGCCACAGAAGCAGTGTTAGCCCTTTAGTCATGTGGCTTTAGACAACGTAACTCCTTAGTGAGCCACCTACAATGTATATGATCTGTTTCACCCAGGGCCTGTGTGATTTGTGGAGGGGAGAAGCTCGCTGTCCATAGCAGAGCTTTTTGTTTGGTGGCTTATTCTCTGAACTACTTAAGGTGGATACCCATTGGTGCTGACCTAATTTGATGCCAGGTGTAAGTGATATCAGTGTATGCTGTGAGGGTCCCCCTGAGAGGTCTGGAGTCCTTCCCTGGGTGTACCAACAGAGTGATTTATCCTTACCATTTCCTAGATGACCACTACATCCCTTCTGATTATTACATACATGCGCGCAACAATATTGTGCGTCCGGTGAATGCAAGCACACCTCTTTTCCTTACCACAGAAGTCACGAGCACCTTATTATTTATGCAATTCCAGTGAGAGTGACCCATACCCCAGACACGGGATTGTCGATGCACCTATATGAAATTTTCAATATTGTTATTTTGGATTTATATACGTTTATGTCATTTTATTTCCTCTATTTTTAAGACAACACACTGATGCCACTTTATAGCGCTCATTATTAGCGCTTGAATTTATTGCTTTATAATTCATTTATGTTTCTGTGTTTTAGCGCTGCATTCTTGATATATATAGTTTAAAGGATCTAGGGGTTTTTCCTTATGCTTTTAGTTCTAATTTATTCAGGAAGTGCTCGCTTGATGATCCATCAGGAAGTACAGAAATGCAATGGAAAGAGGGACTTGCAATTAACCACTAGGGGACCACCTGCAGTACATATACTGTGGTAAATCGGCCCCTGTAGGCAGGATCACGTATATAAACGTGATCCTTGTTTACATGCTAGCAGGCACGTGCAACCGCCCTGCCCGCAGAACCGATCGTGGCCGCGGGTGTCAATCACCGGGTCCCGGACGGTGATCACCCGCCAGTTCCCGGCAAACAGTGACACAGAGCATAGCTGCATTGTTTTCAATGCAGCTCTGCTCCCTGTCAGTTCCCAGATGTTTTATAGCAAAAAGTCCAAAATTGTTTTTTTTCCTCAAAATAGTTTTTTTTTTTTTATATAGAGCAAAAAATAAAAAAACGCACAGGCGATCAAATACCACCGAAAGAATGCCCAATTCATGGGGAAAAAAGGATGTAAATTTCTTGTTTGTGCAGCGTTGCATGATCGCGCAATTGTCAGTTAAAATGACGCAGCGCCATAACACAAACCACTTATGTAACTGCTTCCTGACTGCCCTATAGCAGAAATACTGCTACAGAGCAGCACAGGTGTGCAAAATCAATATATATATATATATATATATATATATATATATATATACACACAGTTGTGTTCAAAATAATAGCAGTCAGACATCACTAACCTGATCAATCACTGTTTTTGGTAGAAATGATATTTCGACATGGCAAATAATTTACTAGCAGGTGTAGTAGAGTAATAGAAATCCAACAGACCCAACAGTCATGACATGCATGCTGCTGATTCTGTGTAATTGAATCACTAATTGAAAGGGGCATGTTCAAAATAATAGCAGTGTGGAGTTCTATTAGTGAGGTCATTCATTCTTTGAAAAACAGGTGGCAATTATTGCCCTTATTTAAGGAAGGAAGGCAGCAAATATTGTACATGCTGGTTACAGTGCATTTCTCTCTGAAACTCTGAGGAAAATGGGTCGTTCCAGACATTGTTCAGAAGAACAGCGTACCTTGATTAAAAAGTTGATTGGAGAGGGGAATATGTATAAAGAAGTGCAGAAAATGATAGGCTGCTCAGCTAAAATGATCGCAAATGCTTTAAAATGGCAACCAAAACCTGAAAGATGTGGAAGAAAGCAAAAAACTACCATAAGAATGGATAGAATAGCCAAAATGGCAAGGACTCAGCCAACAATCAGCTCCAGGAAGATCAAAAAAGGTCTATAGTTAGCTGTGAGTACTGTTGCAATTAGAAGATGCCTATGTGAAGCCAAGCTATCTGCAAGAAGCCTCTGCAAGTCCCACTGTTGAAAAAAAGAGGTGCTGAAGAGGTTACAATTTGCCAAAGAGCACATTGACTGGCCTAAAGAGAAATGGCGCAACATTTTGTGGACTGATGAAAGATTGTTCTTTTCGGGTCTAGTGGCCGGAGACAGTTTGTCAGACGACCCCCAAACACTGAATTCAAACCAGAGTACACTGTGAAGACAGTGAAGCATGGCCGCGCAAGCATCATGATATGGGGATGTTTCTCATACTATGGTGTTGGGCCTATCTATCGCAGACCAGGGATCATGGATCAGTTTGAATACATCAGAATACTTGAAGAGGTCATCCTGCCTTATGCTGAAGAGGAAATGCCCTTGAAATGGGTGTTCCAACAAGACAACAACCCCAAACACACCAGTAAACGTGTAACATCTTGGTTCCAGACCAACAAGATTGACGTTATGGAGTGGCCAGCCCAATCCCCGGATCTTAATCCAATAGAAAACTTGTGGGGGGACATCAAAAATGCAGCTTCTGAGGCAAAACCAAGAAATAGAGAAGAACTGTGGAATGTAGTCCATTCATCCTGGGCTGGAATACCTGTTCACAGGTGCCAGACGTTGGTTGACTCCATGCAACACAGATGTACAGCAGTTCTCAGAAACAGTGCTTATACAACTAAATATTAATTGATTCAAAGGAAAGCAAAATCTTCAAACATTTTTCAGTTTATATAGTGAATGTTTGAGTTTGTAAAGAAGAATACAGACTATTTTTTTTTGAACAGTCTAATATTCCCTTTTCTTCAATATTTTTAGAGGAACAACACAAATTTGATATATTTTTCTTCATGTTTTGATTTGGAATAGAATGTGTAGTATTCCCAATGCATTTGTGTGTATGGAAATAAAAGCTATTAGAAGGATTTTGAGCTTTATTCACTTTTTTCAACACGTGTGTGTGTGTGTGTGTGTTTCGTGTTCCTGTGGTTTTCACGCCCCTCCAGATAGCGTCAGATTGCCCCTCAGTACTCCACTCATCACATTTAACCCCTCGATTGCCAGGAAGACGCTCATACAAAATAAACCTCCATTTCTAGTAGTGTCTGAACGGATCAATATGTTTGATCAGATCAGCACTATACCAGCGTTCACATTAGTATAGCGTCCCTCAAAATGCAGCGTTAGCGGGATCAGCCCCAACATCTACCAGCACCTGCGTTTAGCCCCTACGCTTACCCCCCCCCCACCTTCTACCCCAGCAAGTGCAGTGTCAGTAGGTCACTGTCACTTGATACATTGCACACAAAACCGCAGTGTTGGCAGAATCAGGCCTGATCTGTTAGCACTTGCGAGTAAATTTTGATGACTCTCATATGCAGCAGAGTACAAGTACTAGTGGTGAACTGTCGAGT